TGTGTACATTTAAAATAAAAATCTAATTCTCATACTATCTCAATGTATTATGGTTTAATATTAAGTTTTGACAAAAACAATTTTAATAAATATCAATTATTTTAAGTAAATTTGAAAACATTGATGCATTTTTTGAGCAGATATTATGCACAACTTGTTCAAACATAGCATAAAATTCTTTGGATTTCCATTCATTCTCTATAACTTTTGTACATAGATTGAAAAATACGTGCACTTCATTAAGTGAGTATATATTCTACACATTTCAAAAAATATAAAAATTAATAAGTAAAAGTAATTATTTTAGCAAAAAACAATGGTACCTTTTTCCAAAAATTTTTTAAATACATTTCATTTGTTTAAAATTTTCAAAAATTCTAGGATATAAAAGTTAAATATTTTATTAGTTATAAATTATTAAAATAATAACTAAAATTAAACCTTTCATTTTGAAAAAAAAACTCTGTATGTTATGTGTACTATTTTCTTCTCAGTTATTATTATATTTTATACATTTATATTATTTATTAATTAACTAAAAGTTAAAATAATGTATTTAAAATGTATTCATTGTATTTTCCAGTAACTTATTAAAATGTATTTTTTATAAATAATATTTAACTTTTATTACTAGACTTAGATTATAGTATTTAAAGAAATAATTATTTTTAATTTTACCTTGGGTAAGGAAAAACAGTTTGTTGTAATGCAATCCAAAGTTTGTCTGTAACATGGAAATACATTTAATGGTAAATTACTAGGAAATTCTTTAAGCTCATCAACATGTCCAATAAATTGTGGTAATTGTTTCATAACATTTTGCAGAATTGTATTGAATACTCTGTCCATAATTTTTCTCATCTGTATAATGTTTTATAAAATTAAGAAATGCATGTTTTTTAAAAATAATTGTTATCTTATTATAAATTATAAATACATACGATACTATTGTAAATGGTGCTTTGTTTCATAGTATTATTTTTTCCATTATATAGTTCTTTTATCTGATATGGTTTGGGTGTATTATTTTTAAAAAATCTAAAACTTGACTTAATTGTATTCTGTTAAAAGTTAAATGTATATATTTAGAAAGATAAAATTTAATTTAATTATGTAGTTTAATACACTTACATTAGGTTTATTAAATGATAAAACACCACTTTTATGATTAGGATATTTTGAAAATACTTCGGGTGATTTGCCAATATATGCTGATAATTTATTTTGGCCGACACTAAAGTCTCCATAGGGCATCACATTACTTAGTTTAACTGAATTTCTGATATAATTAAAATGATTGAGAACTGTTCTTTTTTCAACTAATTCATTCACTTGTAATGGATATAATTTACCGAACTTTAGAAAAATAATTCATTAAGTATTAGTGTTATCAAAATATATATGAATAATAAAATAAAAATTACATTTGCTTGATCTTCAATCCATGTACAACTGAATTCATCACCTAAGCAAACATCAGGTATTTCATTTTCTCCAATGCAATATATTGACCATGAACTTTCTCTAGGTCCAGCAGCAGTTACAGCAAATACTAATACAATGAAAGATTATTGTTAAAATAATTATAGTATTCATTTTCTGAGTATGCTTACTATTGTTAGATTCACTTAATATGCCATCAAATAAAGAACCTGCTCTACATGATTCTATATACAAGAGCATCTAAAAGTAAAATTGTAAAAATTAAACATTTTGTTTATTCATAGATGAATATTACTTTAAAATCATTACACTATAAAATTTATGATCAATGTACATTGATTGTAATGCATTGTTTAGTTCATCAGCATATAAGTAAGTTTCTGGAAATGCTAATATGCCAGTTGTTCCATGACCAACAAAGTACACAAAAATATTATCTCTATGTTTACTACAAAATAATATAAATACATAATTTACTATAATTTGAATATTGATCAAACGCATTCAAAAATATCTTACCTTTCAATTACACGACCTGATCCAAAGTTTATCATAGCTGTCTTATTTCCATTTAAAATATTCAAAAAATGTTCACTGCTTACATTCTTTAAAAAAGAATCATAAATAATAATTTTAGTTTATTTATTTTTCATAGACTTTGTACAAATAATTAGTCTCAAAAATTAGTAAGATAGTTTTTAGTTTTAAACTACTTTACTTACCTCACCTTTATAGTCAACTTGTACGCCTTGATAAACGTCTGAGCCATTAGGATGATTAAATAATTCACCTTGATATGGGTTTCTGAGCATTAAAGATTAGAATAAAAAAAGTATAATTATTTATTGTTTTTAAACATAGATAATAATATTATACAAAATATATTTTGACAGTATTTCATGTTTTTATGATAAAATAAAATAATACCATAAGAATTAATTATTTACTTTGGTGTTTAATAAAATTTTCATTTTTTACGTAGGATTTTAAGACACTTTCATCAAACTAAGTTGTTAAGTATTTTGATAAAATTGAAATTTATGATTTTTTAAATTCATAATAATCTTACTCTAAGACAGGTCTGTATGATAAACATAACTTGTATTCTTTAGATATTGTTGCTTGATACTTGTAAATCTTTAACATCTAAATTTTTAACAATTCTTTAAATCAAGGCTACTTTTTTGATATTTAAGAAAAATAATTTACAATGTCAATTCATAAAACTGATAATAAATATAATGTTTAAAATCTTAAACTAATTTAAAAATTTCTTTCACTTTGAAAATGTTTTAGAATAATTAAAAAGTTATAATCTTATCTAATCATGTCTTCAACATTAGTTATTAATTATATATAGATTTAAAAACTAGAGAAATAATTTTTACTATTTAAAATGGTCAGAGATATTAACGTTGTGCGTGTAAATCTAATTTAAAAATGAATAAATGCAAATACAAAGCATTAGACATTTAATGCGATTCTAAATGTAATTAAAATTTATCTTGTTTAAATGAATATTAGAAAATCGTTATCAATAAAATAGATTTTGTATCTAATAAAAAAAAATTTAATATTGTAAAAAATAATTTTCAATATTTATTTGTTAGCTTAAATTAATTGATTTTATTGAAATAGATATACCTATATTATGAATTTATTAATATTATTTTACATTAGTCATAACACTATAACTAAAGTCACCTTAACTGGATAATGTATACATAGTCCAATTTTTAATACTTTTTATAGGTATACCGTACACGGCTCACATAATTTGAAAGTTTCTCAGTTGGAATTAACTATTAGTAAATTGATGAGGAAAGTTGCCATTATTATGTTCTTGTACAACTTATCAAAATTGATTTAAAGTGTAATACCTATATTCTTCTTAATTACTTTCAAAATGATTGATTTTTAATGTTTTAAAATAACTTATTACTGTAAAAATTAACATATTTGTATCATGTTTAATTTTACAATAATAACTATACTTAGTTTCAATTTTCCGCTACAATTTTTTCATTATCAAATTAAATTTTTAACATTGTTATCATATTTTAATTTTGTTTTATAGGTTTAATTTGTTTATTTATTTCATGAATTTGTAAGCAATTTCAATAGGTTAAACATTAATTATTAATTTTTTTTTCCTACAGGGTATTTATCTTTTAATTAATTATCTATTAAAAACCAAAAATATAAATGCTAAATCATTTATTGATGTCTAATTAATATATTATACATTATATAGGTACCTAATTATTTAAATAATAGAGAGTAGATACCTATAAATAATTATTGATTTTACCAATCAAATAATAAATACCTAATTAACATTTGATTTATATAAAATAAAAATATAGATCAAACTGATAAAATTACCTACTGTAAATTTGATAGGATTCATTATTTAAATATATTAAGATAAATATTATTTTTAGACCACAGTTGTTAATTTTTATTGATTTGAAATTTTATTAATAATATAATATCTTACTTAATATTGAAGGCTACATCATCTGTCATCATTACAATTATACGATTAACTGGTATACCATTATTCAACAATGTTTGATATGCATGTGAAACATCAGCCTAAAAACTAGTACTGCAATTAGTTTAACTATTTTTTATATTTTTAAACAATGAAAAATCTTTATTGATGTATGTTTAACTTCTTATCACAAACATTTTTATACCTGATGTCTATAATTATCCCAGCCTTTTGATCCAGCAACCAGGAACACCCAAGTTTCTTTTGTGCCACCACCAAAAAGTTCCAGACATTCATCAATAAATTCATTTGGACCAACAATAATTACCTTTACTATAGCAAATATTGCTAGCACACACAGTACACTTAATAAACAGTAAATCCATTCACCTTCTATAAATGTTTGTCAATTAATTTTTAATAATAAATTATTATATAGAGTATGAAAAATAAATAATAAACTTACTTTTTAGAAACAGATTATTTTTCAACATTTTTGTTAAAGAAGTGCAAAATGTTCTTAAATGACCAGAAAATGAATAACTTATAACAGTTAATTCCTATGCTATTACTATTACTTCTTGTTACAACTATTTATTATACATTTATAATGCTAATAGACAATTCAAGATAAAACAATTTAAGTGCCTCTTGATATTATATTATGGCATAATTTTTTAAAACCATTTTCATATCTATTAAGATGTTTACACATCTTATCGAAGGTAAATTTCTATTAAAAAATTATTCACTAAATATTTATTAAAAAAACTATTGTTTAACCAACTTAAATTATTTGTAGAACTTTGTGAATCATCAAGCATACCATTCATACCAAGCCTTGTAAAAAACTCAAAGTATGTACAAAGTTACCGATCTGAATAAATAATAATCAACTGAATCAAATTTTTAAGAACTATTAAAACAAATGATCCAAAATGATAACAAAAAAAATTATTTTAGAATGAGCTAATCGTTTTTTTATAGAAATAAACAATAAACTATATTTGAAATCTAAAATTATATTTCCTAAAATATTTTCAAAATTATTGAAACTATAATATATAAATTATAAAGAATAAACTATTAAATCCTAAGAAACAAAATAATCATTGCTTAAATAAATTATATTTGAGATGTATAATTACTATTTTATTTTAGTACCTATTACAAAATATAGTGTATTCAATATAGAGTAGTCATTTTACAATGATGTGTTTTTTTTTTTTTGTAATAAAATTTCTTTATAATCTAACTTCAATACTTTTTCTTGTTTCAAAGTGATTCTAGATAATACTAAATACTCAAGAGTCTAAAAGGTCAAAAATAAATAAGGTACACCTAAAAAAAATAAAATAATTTTTACTTAAAAATGAACGCTTTTTATTAATTTTTTGTTTGCTTTTCTTGATTATTTAGAAAAATACTGGGAACTTTAAATTTTAACCTCTTCAAAGTATATAAAACAGATCCAATTTCTTAAGTTCCGTATAAGTAGTTTTTGTTAAATGAAAAAAAAAAAAGTTGAGTGTAATTCTATAAGTATTTTTGATGAGAATCTGAATTAAAATTAATAATTTTGACCTATTTAGTTAAATATTTGTATTAAAATAAATGAATAAAAAAAAATAGGAGAGTAGATACCGCTCTGTTGTCCAATTGTATCAAGCGAGTCACTGTAATTACATTACATGTGTTGAACTTGAATTAAATCATATTATTATTTAATACAAATTTTTTTTTTTTTTAATTTCATTGTTGGTCTTTGACACCAAGTGGCATATTTTCAGGTCGGGGATGTCCAAAATATCTCTAAATAACTCAGTGGTATTCAATAATTCGTATGTATTCTAGATAAACTGTAAATTTAGTTTAAAAATAACCTTTGTAACGTGTCGCTAAATATGATCTTTAAAGTGAACTGATAAAATTAATTTCAACTTTGCAGATATGATATACATATTATATTATCTATGAGTAAAATACTGATAGATAGGCTAACTTTCAAGTCAAATAATGTTTAGACCTAAAGGACTACTCCCCTCCCCCCGTCACCAACCATACATTTTATAAATTTGACTTGATGAAAATATAATTTTGAAATAACTTTGTTGTTTTTGAGGTAATTAGCAATCATTGTTAAAATTATCCTACTTTATATTACATAATATTACAAGAAAATCAGTAAAAATAAACATCTAGTAAATTATTAAATATTTATTTTTTTAAATTTTTTAATAATAAAATTGATTAAACTTAATAAACTAAATGTGATTAATGTGTAATAATATTAAACCAAGGCCGTAACTTAAAATAAATTTTGGATGTTGATTTAAATAGAATATTTATTTTATATTATTTTACCAAAAAAAAATAAAATAATTATTCTTGTTACAACAGTCAATATCTCGACTGCTAATTTATTCAATTTTTTAAAAGAAATTGGGTGGGATCTTAACCTCTAAATTTATCCATCAGTTACGGCCATATGAGTTTCTAGAAATAAGAATGAAAATTAAACAACGCAAAAATTATCTAATACAAGGTTATGGTCATAATCCAAAAGTTGTTTATGCTTTATGAATCTAAGTTCTGTTTAATGAAGCACATTTATTTGTGGATTTACCATTAAAACCATCTAGTATAGCATTGAATGAGGGATAGCTTTTACATTTACATTCATTTCCAGGATCATCGTCGTTTATATTACTAACCATAAATCCTGCCCCAACAGATTTGGCAAATTTACCCTAAAAATCAAATTATTTAAGATAAGTTAGTTGGTACATTAAATGTATTAAAAATACATTACTTTTTCATTAAATGTTTTTATAGAATCCACACACCAAGAACTTGTAGAATTTGAATCTTCGCATATCTATAAAAATATTTTCATACAAAATTAATTAATTTTTATATGTGAAATCAAAAAATTTTGGGAAATTTAGTTACCTAGTTATTTATTAAACTTTATTTTTTTAAATTGATACTGCTTATATCAGAGATTCTCAAACTTTTCAGGCCAGACCCTCCCCTCCCCTTTTGGTCAATCCCAAACTTGAGCCCCCCTCATACAAATAATTTTAATAGTCATGTTTAGGGTAACAAAAAGTTAAAAATAAACAACAAATATAAGCTAATATTGATATTAATATTACAAATTTATTTTAAAATAAAATGTATTTTTTGTAAAAGGTTTTAATTAATCGACCAATTTTATTATTATTACAGACATTTCACAATTTTTTTTCTGTCCTACCAATGCAATGTTGATTTTTAAAATTTTCTCCCTCCCCCCCACCCCCATAAAGATTTCGCGGCTCCCGAAGAGTCGCGCCCCACATTTTGAGGATCTCTGACTTATATTATATAAGACAACATAATTTTTAAATATATAATAGTCAATACTCATTCCTTTAAATCCGGACGTGTTTTCTCCATCATAAAAATGGCCAAATATTATATTTTATATTATTAACTCAATGATTAAATTAATTCTAATATTAAACCTAAAAGTTATGAACATTATCTATACTCTATTGTTTGGGTTTTACAATACTTTAGTTTTTAAATGAATTAGGAGTATTTTTAAGTACAAAAATAAATTAAATAATTATGTAATCATAAATGAAATAAAAATTATTACATCATAAAAAACAAACGAGAGAACACAGATATTCATACTTCTAAGTTAAATAATAGATAAATTCACTCTAATATTAAAACTAACGCAGACTTGGAATAGTTGAAACTGAACGTATAATAACATTTTAAAATTTTTTACGATAGTAAAAGAAACTACATATTATGTGAGTAGTTACGACTTCTTCTCAATAACTTAAAATATGTATCGTGGCTACTAGTCAGGTACGAAAATGAACAAAAAAATTGTTTTATGAAGATTAAATTCGTTATGTAGTTTAGTATTTTAATCAAGCTGATAATTCGCAATGTTAATTAATAGATAAAAGAACATAACAGTTCGTTTGAAGCAGATAACGGTTTATTGCGCGTAATGTAATCGTTTGTCCTTAAATTCTTTTCTATTATTTTCATGTGACATACTTACAGTGTATTACCATATTTACTACTTAATTAATCATATAGTCATTTATTTATTATTTATATTAAATTTGAATACCTGTTGAGTGGTCACATTAGTCTCTGAAGCATCACTTGATGTAGGACTCAACTTAAATTTAAAATATGTATTTTGTTTTGGAATAGACGTCTTTGGTAAAATACTTTTTAAATACATCTAGAAAAATAGAATTATACATAAAATCCATCGCTGTGTTTTGTAGATTATAATGTTTCAATACCAATGTATAATTCGATTTAGTTGTTGAATTTGCCTTCATTGGAGCTATTCCTTCTATAAATTCGTCAGAGCAATCATTTAATGTTTCCACGCTTATAACGTAGAAATCCACAGTCGGATTTAGTTTTTTGAAATCCAACCCTGTTTAAAATATTTGAAATAGGTGTTATATTTTTAAGAGTAAGTCACAAAAATAATATTTGTATAAAACATTATATTATACAAACTGTACTTTTGGTCGTTGTACAATGTACGTACAAAAATGGTTCTTAAAGATTAATGAATTGATAAAATGGAAATTTAAAAAAAAAAAAACATTAATAATATGCATTTCTTTATGGGCTCTCTTTTTTACGATAATTAAAAATGTCTTAAGAATTTGTATTACCAACAAAACCAACTTAATCTTTTGTACGTTTTCAGCTATTTTTTTAATGAATCATGATAGTGTTTATTTTTCTGAAAATGATATATTGCTCAGCAATTTTGAATCAACACTAAGGAGCCTTTGCTTTGATTATTGATTGAGTTGAAATAATATCATATAATACCTTACCTAGCCAGAAAATTTCTATTATCAAGAAATAATTTAAAAACCAATCATTACATCATGGTCTAAATTTTTAAAATTATTCAAGATTTTATAGCAGGTTTTTAATTAATTTTAATTGTTAGTGCCTTAAAAGTCTAAAACTGTCCACTTTGATTTCGATGTTTGCTTTTTTTTTAGAACCCACATAATATGAGTGATAAAAATCAGCTTGAATGAGTTTAAAGAAAGTTTTTAAGTTTTGCCACCTATACTTATTGAAAATTAGTACAGCGGACCTCGTGACCATATGAACCAGTATTGAGTAGATTAAGTTTAATTAATTATTCAAATTTGATGCTATGATATTTGTTTTCAGTGTATGATTAAACTCGTTATTAGATTAATAATTTAAAGTTTTACAATGAAAAAAACTTAAGTAAACTAAAAAATCATGATAATATGGTGATTTTTTTATTTTGTATTTTACTAGATTTCTAATATATGCTTTAAAAAGATATTAAATTTAAATAAGTTTTTGTAAATGGTCAAATATTATTCAAATAAAACTAACCTAACTAATTAACTTAATTAGAAGATTGTAGATCATGAAGTAATATACAAATATTGATGATTGTATCATAACGTTTTTAGAAATTTAACAGCATCAGTTTTTCTCGTTAATATTCGACAAATAAAGTTGATTTTGTTGTTACAACTACATACTTAAAAAATTTCAGAGCATTATAAATAAATATCCTGTGTAACTAAAAAAATGTGATTTCTTATTTAACTAAAATACTATTATACCTATTCATAAGAAAAAAAAAACGAGTGTAAAAATAAAGTAATTATAAGTATAAAAATACACATTGTTTCTGTATATATTTAACACATCTTAAGTTAGTACATTCATTACCTCGTTATAACTATAAATAAATAAACATGAAACATAGGTACATAAATAAAGATAATAAACAATATACTAACAAGGAAACGGTGGGTTGGTATATTGATCTATCAGAAACTTCCCGCTAATTAAAATGCCAATAGATAAATCAGAAATATTTGATTTCATCACTTCAATATATTGTTTCAAATTTTCAGTATAATTCTTGAATTCCTTGGAATCACTCTATACAAATGAAATGGATTCTATTAAAATATTGTTAAGTATTTAAATGTATTATTATAAATGTTGGCGATTAGGAAAAGTGAACTGCTTCCAATCACTTTATTAAAATATAGAATGTGCAAAATAAAGTAAAAAATTCACTAAGTTATAAATTGGTTGAAAATTTAAATTTTTTAAGTATATCTAAATTAAAATTGAAAAAACGTATTATTGTTGAAGCATTTTACGTTGTCACTTAAAAAAATAAATAATTCTATAAAGTATAAACTATAAATCTATACGATTATATTAATAAATAAGTTAATTCATGAATATTGATCATTTATAAATGGAATTTTATTCAATTTTGATTTATTTTTAATAATATTATGCAATTAATTTTATATAAAATGTGAAGATTCTGTAACAGTTTTGAAATAAAATTCAATTGTATAAATAAAGATACAAAATAAATAAATTATATTTTAGCTTGAATAGCCTACATGAACAATATGAAAAATGATTTTATTAATTTAAAAATTAAAAGTAAATTAGTCCTTACACTAGGTTCTAGATTTGTTAGAATAAGACCATTTATCCCATCATAATTTTTCAAAAATTCTCCTAAGGCTTTCATTTCATCCTTTGAGTTGGTTCCGTCATTACAAGCTTCACAACCAAGCACTTGAGTCCATTCAACATAACTTGTGTGACCATATAATAAAAATATATTCTTATCAGAATTCTTCACTATTCCTTCCCAGTTTTCTATATAAATGTTAAGACACGTGAATACATAGTATGTTAAGATCTTTAATATTAAGTTATACAATTATTTTCATTCTATTATCTATAATCTAGAGTCTAATTCAGTGACTATACACCAAGTTGTTCAAAGTTGGATTAATCATTAAGAACTTACTTTCGGAATTATCCATAAGGATATAGTTCTGCAAATGTTGAAGTAAATTAATTTTTTAGATATTTTATAAATTTATGATGACGAATTAAGAGTTCTTTACCATTATCGCTTAGGTTATTAAGGCATCAAAGCTTATAGTAATAAAATTTGAAAAGGTTGTAGAACAATATTACTTGATTTTTTTTTAAATCTAATATCGGTTGTTGTTTATTATTTTTAATTTAAAAAATTCAGAGAGACCACAGCGTATACGAATATAAAAAATAATAAAATTCTTGATTTTGCCAATTTAGATATTTGCTTTGGAATTATTTTAACTTAAATACAAAGTGTTTGACTTAGTACTCTTTTTCACGATTAAAGTGCATAGGTTAGGTTAGGTTATGTCAGCTGTATAACAATAAAACGGTATCGGATTGATATTTTTTTATAATAATTTAAAATAAATAATACATTTTAAAAATATTATTATAAAAAAAACTGCAACTGCAAAGAGCGGAAAATTGTTTAAATCTAAATTAAATAACAATTGTTATAACAGTTAGGTAATTCACTATTTTGTGTCAGCTATTGTTTATTTTTGTGAAATCATTATTTTTCATTATAAATTTAATTTAACACTGAGATTGAGTTTCTGTAACCTCTTTTATATAAACATAACTTTTTAATATAAAACATGTTAAGTAGTAGCGACCGGTGAACAGGAGACGTAGCAATAATTTTAATTTTTATATATTTTACTTTGTAATTATTTGGCTATAAAAACGTTATTTAACTAATTAATAGGGCTGGCATTTTGATGCAAAAGCATCATTTTTTCTGGTTTTTCTGAAATGTTGGTCCGTAGGTATAAAATATGTCTTGACCTTGTCAAGGGTGATACTGATAATTTTAAATAATTTTTTTTATGCATTTTTTGACGATTTTAGTGAATTTTTTTAGTTTATAAAGTATTTTTCTTAATTTGTTCTTAAAATGAACCAAAAATTGTTATGATTAACAAAAGACTTTCTGTAAACATCCGAAGGTTCAAATAATAAATTTAATTATATAGCACGAAAAGTTATCGTCGACAACAATTTTTTTTTCAAATTATTATTTTAGAATGAAGGATTAAGAAAACTAAAGTACAGCAGAACTAAACAAGTAACAACAAACAATACTATTAAAAAAATAGACTACTGTAGTATCATTTAAACATTTTTTTCCTATTTTTAAACTATAATAAATTTAAATGCATTTTATAGTGCATTTTTTGAGTTTTTTAAGGGCATTTTTTGAGATTTTTTAGGGCATTAAAATCCTAACCCTACTAAATAACTATAATATAAATTCATAGTTCAAATAAATAATGAAAAATACAAAGCTTGACAATTCCCTTATAATAATAAGTTATAATGGGTTGTATTATTGAGCACATTTTTAAAACTAAATTTACATAATATGCATCATAATTAATTATAAATACATTTTGTGAAATCAATATTTTATAATTAAAATTTAAGTGTGTTTATTTTAATGAAATTAAATATATATAATCTTAATTATTTTTACTAATTTCAGTAATATTTCCAAATAATTAAGTACCTTTATTAGGATATTTAATGTTGTAATTCACATCTACATAAAAACCATCAATAATTAAAGCAGTGCACGATTCCGGTATGTCCGAATTCGTGCCATTCGTGCCATTTGTGCCATTTGTGCCATTTGTGCCATTCGCGCCATTCGTGTCATTCGCGCTATTCGATGAACCGTTATTTCCTTTGCCATGACAAGTACCACTATAAGTACACGACGATATTCCGGGGCCTGAAAACCAATCAATAAATAGAATTTTAATTTTTTTTTTTCATTAATAACATAGTACATTGTCTAAAATATAGATTGAACAAAAATTATATTAATAGGTACTCATTATTCATTATTATATATAAGTATAAGGTGTTGGAAACCTGAGAGAGCAATTCGATCATTGTACCATCTCTATCCCGAGCAGTAACTCAAAAAATAATAGTGTAATTTGAAGTTACAAAGCAAATAAGAGTCAGTGTAAATCGTTTCAAAGGTAAATTTTCAAAAAACTCGAGAAAAATAAAAATTAAATTACAAAAAACACAAATTTTCGAGAAAAATTGACTTAAGGTAATGATCTATTTTCATCCGTTACGTTATTGTAAATTTTAACCCTCGATTTATCGGTTTTTGCCGTCAACTTTCAATTCTGACAGTCAAATACAGAGAAAAAATCGCATTTTTGAGTTAACAATATAATAATTCTTTAATAATTTAGTAAAATGCAAACTTTGTGGTTGTTCGATTAATAATTAAGTGATACTCCTGAGAGAACTGAGTAAGTATTAGCGTTGCTTTAATTTAAGACTATTTAAATTCACTTAAATTTTTTGAATTTCTGCAGTAAGTAGTTTTTGTATGAAATTTTGAATATAGTTTAAACACGGGTGAGTAATTTTGTCAAAATTTGAACATAATATTAAGCACATTGTATTCTAGTATTTTTATACAGATACGACAAGAACAACTTGTGTGGACTCTTGAATTACTTTTTCAAGAACATTGTTCAGTAAATAATCTTTAATGGAGAACTTAAAAAAAAAAAAATTTAGAAAAAGTGTGTTAAGTGTTATTAATGCTAAATCGATGTACTTCGTTCAGTTACGTATTGCTAATTCTTTAAAGTAACTGGGGAAAACATACGAACATTTATTAAATTTATTATTAAAATAAATGAGAATTTTTTCAAAAATAATTACAAAATCGATTTATTTTTGTGTGTAATTAAAATAAATAACATTAGATACTTTAAATGGTTAAAAATTGTATGTTTTATATATCTTGTAATTTATTTTGTTGACTCTTTTGTTACTTATAAAATGACATTTTAAATTTTTTTACTATATAAATACCAATTGAAAATTTATCACTGATTTAAATGTTTGAGATTATAAGACAAGATTATTCATAAGATTTTCATTTATTGACTAAAGATTATTGAGAATTTTAAATCATAATATTCATTGAATATTTAAAGTTAGAATTTGAAAATATTTGTCAAAATATCTAAATAATATTTTTTAAGAAATTTATAAACATTTTCTTTTGTTTAACGATTTCTAATTTATTTTTCTTTATAACAAAAATCTTTAACAAAAAGTCATATTCAATTTTATGATTATTTTAAACTTAAATTTTTACGAATTGATATAATATATTTGTAATAACTAGTTCACCTCACATTTATATTTTTTTGTAATTCAAAACGATTAGTTACTTAAAATGTTCACTAAATATTTATGTTAA